CCGTGTATCAAAATTGCATCTCCAGGCGAGTGTGTGAATTGACGCTGTACCTTGTATGTACATACCGGTGAACCAGTCATCGAGTTGCTCCTCTGTTGTAAAACAAACAAGAGGTGTATGACATAGCAACTAGATAGCCGTTTCGTATGCTGTTCTTTTGATTGTACATATCATTGTAGTAAAATTATTGGTACCTGGTCTGAGGTTTGAAGATGTATCGTATCCTCTGGCCCTAGGGCTGTAGCGTGGGTGGCCATCATATAAGTTCGATGAAGCTGCTTCTACCAGATACACTCAGTACTAAATCGTAAACTTCTTGTCAGTAGGCCAGTAGCTACTTACTTATCAGGTGAATAGCAATGCACTCGTTTAAACTTTAAGTAACCCGGAAAAATAAAGCGCAGAATCGTATCGGACTTGTATCTACAATTAAAAGTGCACTTCCGCTAATTTTGTATGCAACTACACTCAAGAGGGAAGAGGGTGGATTTTTTTTTGTTGAATTTTCGGCATAAAATAGGTAACCATGTTATTGTTACCCAATCAGATACCGATGCGACGAAATTGTGGTCCGGACTCCGAGTTCCCACTCTTGGGACTTGGTGATCTGAGATCGGCCGATCGCGCGAGTTTTACCTCTATTCTGAAATGCTCTCTCCTCTCGGACGAGTCTTGACTCTCGAAACCCGAAGCCCGAAGGTCTCGTTCGATTTATTATTTTTACTGCTGCATTTTGAAGTTTTAACCCCCTGCAGACGAAGTGGTGTCATGTTCAATTTTCAGAATGCTACGACTATTTTCAGTAAAAGGGAGAAAGCGAGAGGGTGACGCGACAGTCTTTGAGTGAGTCGCACAGCGAAGCTATTACATATAAATATGATAAATAACTTTTACGATTGCAATAAGCTTTTTTCAATGGGACAAAATCAAAGGTTGCCGCAATAAGGCAAAGTGAATATTATGACGGTCAGACTCGGAGTAGAGGTGAGAATCTGTGCACAATACTGACAGGACAAACGTCAACTTGTTGTGGTTAAGCGGTGGTATAGTATCAATACCGCACAAAGAGCCGCCGACATACAACGCAAAATTCATATTTTTAATAAATGAATCATCTATCGATATCCAAACGATTACAAGTATCTCGGTATTATCGCTAGACTATCTTGTGTGCATGAGCAGATAACTTGCATACAACGAGTACTCGCGTTGATTCACAAGCATATGTTGTGTAGAGTGGTAGAACTAGTCAGAAAACATAATCCTTCTCACAGAGAGTTCTTATTTGAAACGAGTATGTTCTCGTTGTTGCTTCCTAGTTGACATTGACGAGTGTAGGTTTAAGGTGATACCGACTGTTTTTATAATGTTTCAGCATTTTTTTTAGCTGCTGGTATAGTTGTGTGTCTTTTTTCAATTGTCCTCGTGCTGAGATCTCAAAAACCAAAACAGCTGTATTCCTACAGTCGACCCAGGTCGAGCTGAGATTTTTCTTTCAATACTGCTATGTACTGCAAATATCGCTGCCTGCAGCCCTGCACTGCTATTTCTTTTATATAAATGTCCCATTTCAGAAGGATGATATAAACACAACATAGAAAGCCACATCAAATCTGAACTCATAATGTCTCAGTGAGAGCGAAACTTGGTCCATGACCCCAGACTCCAGAGGAGGTCTGAAACTCTAGTCCGAGCTGAGGAGTCGAGGACTGTCAGAGCTGGGGTCTAAGACTAAAAAACTCGGTAGTTTTATCAGTCGTCTGACGTCTCTCAGAGACTCGTCAGACTCTCAGTCTCAGACTATTTACTGAGTACTGAGTACTGGTCTCTGTCTCTCTCTCTAGTCTTATGAAAACCTGAGAGTG